GGTACTGCTACTACTACTACTAATAATAACAACAACAAGGAGCGGGCACATAACCACGTGTGTGTGTGTGGAGTAACTGTGAGACGGGCTGGGAACCGTGGGGGTATAGCTGTGATGCTGGGCTGGGGGGGATTTGTGGGATCACAGCCGTGGAGGGGGGTTTGGGGGTCGTAACCGTGAGGGGAGAGGGTGGTAGTAGTAGTAATAATAATAATAATAATAATAATGGTGTTCACAGGCACCACAGAAGCTCATTGCTGGCTGCAGCATTCTGTACCCTGAATGTGCTGCGCCGGCTTTGCAATATCTCAGTTGTTCCAAGTCAAACTTCACTTGCACCGTGCAGTTCTGAAAAAGCGCTTCCAGCTGAACCCACGTTTCAGTCTGCCCTTGAAACTCTGTAATCAGTGCAATAGCTAATGTGTGTAAGCAAGAGCTGTGTTCAGTAGCAGGCTGTGGAGGTGATTCCCCCTTGAACCGGAGTTTTCTAGTTCCAGTAGATCTGCGCTTGTGTCAAACTAAGGCCAGTACGATCCAGTGGCTGTTTCAGAAGGATTTTTTGCTTTCAGGCACTTGCACAGCTCAAATATTTTTCTGCTTTTTTCTTTATAACAGAGGTGTCCTATAAAGAAACAAAACCCAGAATGTTCAGGCTCAGAATCTAAAATATTAACTCGAAGCTCAGCTGACACACCTGAGGAGGTGAAGGCTTCTTGATTCAGTTTTAGTGCCTTAAGCCAAAAGCTGTTTTCTGCAGTGCCTGGGGAGCAGCTGATGCCATAAGACTGTGGGGACTTTGTGGTTTTTTTTTTGTGTGCTCATTCCACATTTGGAATCTGTGGCTTATTCCAGATTTAGATGTCTCAATGGATACGTGGAGCTACTTCCATACTTGCCTGGCGTCCATATGGCTGCACAGATTTTACATCTACTCTGCTGTTGCTTTGGGGATCAGCCTGTGGATTGTCATTCAGTTCACCACCACCAAAACCAAAAAGAAGGTAACTGAACCTGTCAGCCCTTTTGTCTGAGGAGACCCCAAAACCCCATGAGTGGAAGTGAGGAGTTGCTGGGTGAAGGTACCCACTGGTGCAGTGAAATGTTCCGTGTCACTGTGGGCCCACCTAGAGGGCTGCAAATCCCAAATGCTGCTTAGTTCATGTGATTATAATCCTCAGTTTGGATTGTTTTATGTTTGAGGGTCACTAAAAGCTGCTCTTGCTCTGATTTTGGAGCAGATGTCACCTGGACACTTCTCACACTGTGTCAGTCACTCCAAGTAAATCCCTCTGCATGTGCCCTATGTTTTCACCTTCGTGTTTGCAGTGATGTTAATGACAAGGCTGGACTGGTTTGGGTTGGGAGTGGGATTGGAACATACAGGAACTGAAAACCTCCTTGTGCAGGTGGTTGAAGTTCTGCTGGAAGAGTTTGGGAGAGTTGGATCCTTTTATCTCCCAGATGTTGCAGCATGGCTTAGGTCAGGGAAACACTTCCTGCTGGGTTTGCCTGGGTGTGAGAGGAACCCAATTGCTGTTGCATTTGTGTAGTGCTGACAGTCTGGCCACAGGATTTGAATTTTAAATGCTTTTGGTTTAACATCACTTGCAAAGGGGATTGATTGAAGGTGACACAGCTCCTGTTTCATAGGGTGAAAAATCCAGTGGGAATCCCACTTCCTCCAGAGGGACAGAAGACAAGCTGGTAAATGGATGTGCCACCCCTCAGGCAAAGGAGGTGTATGTTACTGGAGTGAAGATCTTCTATGGGTCTCAGACTGGCACGGCAAAGGTATCAGTTACTTTTGTTCCACATTTGTGAAATAGATCTGAAACATTGTTGGGATTCAAGTATGTTGCTTGTCTTAAAACACTGCACTGGGTACAGATCTGAGAGGTCATTAGGAAGTTCATTAGCTCCTTACAAGTCATTGGCCAACACGAAAGGTAAGTGAAAATTCTATAAAAATAACATTTTCCTCCCTCCTTTATGTGGGGCCTGCAGGATACTGATTATGAAACTTCAACTTTACTCTTACACTATAATTTTAATTTGCTAGCAGGTCTTCATAGAAACATGTGCTGTCTTTGGTGCTTTCTCGAAAAGAAATGCCATTTGTGTGTGTAAATGTATAAAGCCATTAAAATGCATGGAACTCTCAGCCAGTTGCTTCATGTTTTTCGTGTGAGGAGTTACAGGCCCAGTGTCCAGGCCTCAGGTTCTTCCTGTGCTGGGAGAGGTTTTGTGGCTGAGCACAGCAGTGCTGCCGGGTGTTGAAGTAACTGATAACTTCCTCTATGTTTCTTTTTCCAGAGGTTTGCAAAAGCTCTGGCTGAAGCTGTTACTTCCCTTAATTTGCCTGTGGAAGTCGTTAACATGGGAGACTGTGACCCAGATGACTGTTTAGCAGAGGAGGTGGGTATGGCATAAATAGCAATAGTAAATACAAGTGTTTTCCTGGGCTTGCCAAGGCTGTTTTCCTTATCTGTTTCTCTCTTCTTCTCCTGGAAGTCCCCAAAGCTGTGTGTTGGAAACTGTTCCCCTGCTACCTAAGCGAGTGTAGCCCATCAGGCCCTCAGCAGAAAATACCTAAATTTGGGAAATTACTGGGAAAGCACCACACAGAACATTTGGAAGCTGACAGTGATCTTCTATGAGCCAGTTCTGTAACTCGGGTGTGAGAGTGGCTGCACCAGGTCCCCTGTTCTCTGTGTGCACCTGGGGAAGGGTTTAGAGCCAGAACAAGCAGCTGGTGATGCTTCTGCAGGTTTTACAGGCTTACAAGTTGGAAACTCCTTGGGAGGTGTTTGCAGCAACCCTAGATGGTTTTTCTTCTGTGAGTATTGATAGTTTTAATTAATCCTAACAAAATGTTTTGGTTGTGTCCCCCTCCATTGGGAACTGGGTGTTGGAAGTTCCTGAGGGTTTCAGTGTGAATTGTCAGCACTGGCTATTGCCCCTGACAAACCTGGAAATGTGAGGTTGGGAAGTTTTAGGTGTTTATCTGTGGGGGACTTTGTGGTGAAGGAG